TCCATGCTTGTGTGTGCCCGTGTTGTTGGCATGGATGATGCTCGGCGCGACAGACGATCGCCGGTCTCCAGCTGTCGATGGCGTATGCAGCGATAAGGCAGGGCGATGTCCGCGAAGCTGTGACGGCGGCAGCTGCGAGGCAAAGGACGAGTTGCGGGATACCGAGGGGCGCGTCGAAGAGTGGACGGGCGGTAGTTTGCGCTGTCTCTCCCCGCCCGTCGCGAAGCCGTTCTGCCTGCGGACCGGGGAGCGGTCGCGTCCTTCAGGCGGGGCTACATTCTTGAAGGTAATGGTGCATTCTATGTCTTCGCCGGCGAACACGGTAGAGTCCTTCCATTGTACGAATACCCGGATGTTCGACGCGGACATGGTAGGGAGGCTGGGCGGCGCGGGCTGCGGGTTCGTAGGCAGCTCATCGGGTACGGCGGTCAATCGGCATGGCGACTGCTAGTAATTGGCCCCCAAGACAGCTGAAATAGCAGCAAACTCCAGTTGAGGGTTGGTGACGTTGGCGGACCTTGACTGACAGCTGCGCCGTCATGACAGGGATGTCCACGGTCTAGGCGGCCTGTGCTTCTTGCTTGTACCTGTCCATCGCGTCTTTGTTCAGCCAACTACGACACAACATCCTTCACTACCGACATATTACCCACCACACCGAATGAACATCATACATGAATTGAACGCCATTGTAACTACTTAATATACCACATCGTCTGGTCATCGAGTGTTACCACCTCCTCGCTCACCACGGTCGCGTCGGCTACACTCTCCATCAATACATCTTCCTGTCCCTCCCACAACATCCGCACCCTCACGCGTTCGATAACACGTGCATGGAATTGGTTGTGGGAACTACCACCGAGCTCTTCGACCACCAGTCCAGGGGTTGAATGCACACAGCCCTTGATAAAGCCAATCAGGCAGATAATCATTAACGGTCCCGAAGTATTGCAGTGAACAGGGAGCTTGTCATGGGTTTCAACAGAAAACCAGCCGCCCGATGCGGTTCCAAGGAAGAACATCGCAGGCAGTCCACTCGTACTAGTCGAACTCACAACGATACCTGGTGCTTGAAACAACAGACCGCTTTCTGTCCTGTTCGCGGTTGTACGGAATATCGACTCGTAACCTTTCATGTCTATAATTATTGTGCCTTCATACTGAAGTAAAGATGCGGGGGCCCACTGAAAGCCTGGCTGGGATAATCTTTCACACTGGTCGAAGATCAGCGGCAAAGGTATGTGCGAAACTAGTCTCCAAAAAGCCGTCATTCTGCCTAGGGGATCGGATGCTGGAATCTGGGCTATTGTCGAACTGTCAATGCGAAGTAAATTTGCCAAACACAGAGGTTCATCGGAATGTACACTTGTCGATCGAAAACGTACGGCGTTGGCTAAGGTCTGCAAGGCACCCGCCTGGTCGGAAGAGTTTACTGGAATCCGAAGCTGCTCGATATGGTATAGGATCGACTGTCGCGCGACCAATCGTATATTTGGGTCGGCACTTGCCACCATCCTGGAAAGCCCTGACTGGAAGTCATACGGACCATCCGCGAATTGAAAGAATATCTTCCGGGCTAGGGCGCCTTCTTGAAGAGTCCACAACCGGCTGGTCCACTTGCTGCATACGATCCGCCATAATATCTCCACGTCACTGAGGTTATGTGCTGAGTATGTCAATAGTGAGTGATCCAAGACCAAGACGGCTGAGGCATTCTCATATGTGGTCTTCATCTTAGCTATTGCCATCGTTTGTATGTCTGATCCATCTTCGACCGGGCAGCAAATTGTGTCCAACCAGAAAGCTGAATATGGCCCCAACTCTGGTGGATGAGGAACGTTGCGTACCAGTCGCCGCAAGTCACTCAGCTGGCAAAACGGAATAGAGTTCTCGCGAGGGTTGCCTAACCCATCCGACCAAATGTGCGATATGGCTACGTATGGAATGGGCGCATGAGAAGAACTAGCGACCTGCCTTGGATTTCCGACAGAACTCAAGCAAAGCTTCTTTTCAGCCGTGATTGGACCGAACAAGTCAATGACAGGATAGGCGCCTTCCTCCAAAATAGCGCTCATTCTTTCAACGTCTGCAGCAACAGAAGAACAACCGTCGCAACTAGTAACATGTCGGGTGTGATAGCTAGATTCATCGACACAGGCATGACAGCAGGTCATTGTAGTGCAAGCTTCATGATCCAGAGTCTCATGGCGTGGCAGGTTTGCGACATGAACCAGATCCGTGAGCCTGAGCTTCATCATATATTCTCGTATACGGGATGGACACCAACCGCGGTCTAGCATCCGTTGCTCGTAGATTCCACCTAGACGACCGGCAGCCACAACCGGACTTGGATTTCCGGGGCCGTTGATATCCGGCTGTCGCCATTGCTGAAGTGTGAAGGTAGACGAGAAGTTGAAACTAACGACGTGAAAGAGGTCTCGGAGTAACCAGATTGAGTCGAAAATTTCAACTGGAAGAGGACTGCGATAGTCAAATGTGCTCATGAACTTGTAAAGTGACAATACGTCCGATCCTAGGCGTCCATTTGTGTTTGTCGTAGCTGTTATTAATATGTCCCCTTTAGAGAGCAGTTTGCCCATCAACGTGTTAGATCGATGTATGCGAGATATTAGATCTCCGTCCTGGATTGCGTAGCCTCCCGGAGTACTTTCCACGTAGTCGTCAATCAACGCGATTAGATTGGATGTGTCAACCACCCTACTTTCACCGTCACAAACTTTGGTGAATAGTTCCACAGCCGCGAACCGGAAGACCAAAGATAGTGGTCCGAAGTATTGCCAGAGCTGCATGAAAGCAACGAACTCTGCAGAAGGGTCTTCGAATAGCTTCTTCCATTCCAGAGCAGTCCTGTCGAAGTAACCTTGTCGCGCGGGAAACGTCTCGAGATCTCCTCCGTCGTACTCTTGATCGGTCAGGCAGGGCACTTCGATGTAGCCAATCGTCGGGTTCTTGGGTAAGGGTATGTGCTGCATGATGTCGTTAGTAACTCAGCCGTTGCGGTTATCCTCCAAATGGATTTGAACGTGCAGTATGATATACACTGCTACCTTGTTTGGCTGATGCTGAGCAAGCAGCTTGACAGTTCCTGCACGAGATGCGTACAGGCACCTGATAGCGACACTATCACAACGAATAAAGGAAATACACAAAGCTTGCGCTGCGAAAAGATGCAGCGATATGCAAAACTGAAGCGTAGTGGGCGCCTTCCGGCGTGCGCTAGGAATATTGTAAGTAGTAGTTGTTGTTGGGACGAGCACGTATACATCAGAGATACGTCATGTAAACGGATCATAATTGTGACTACGAGCGAGAGAGCCACAACAACCGAACACAAGAGAGCAGAACATGAGAACACGCGAACAGCCCCTAGAGCACAAGCCACAATAGATCATCGACTCCCTCATTCATATTCTTCTGACAGGCCACCACCACACAGAACAGATGCTTACTCGCATTCACACTAATCACCTCAAACAACTCACTCTCCAGCACTTTTGCAAAGTCGACCAGAATGCGCCCAATCGGTCCCCGCGAACTCTTACGAATCGATCTAAAGTCGCTGCGGATATCCATGTTGTGCCAGATGATATCGACGTCGAAGTCCTCATGCGGAGTGAAGCTGGCATCTGGCCCCGGCGATTCTGACCTAGGGGCAGTGGGGGCATTGGGGGTAGTAGGCCCTGTAATTACTGTTAGATTTATGTTTACAGAGGTCGAAAAGATAAGACAACTAGTGGCTCTGATGGGTAGCAACAGTGGGCGTGTGGAGGATTGGGAGCGCATACTCGGTGCACCTGCAGTATCGGTTACACTCTGCATCCTGGCAGTTGTAGACACTTTTGCTGTTGCAGCGACAGCCAGCCGAGCCTCCTTCGTAGCAGCGTGGTAGGGTGTTACCTCCGCTGCGGCAAGTGACTTCGTATTTGACAAGCGCTTCAAAGGTTCCGTTATCCGCGCTCTTCTTCTCTGGAGGGGTAGGCGTGGCAGTGATGATTGTGAGAAGAGTTGCTAAGACAGCTAGGTTGGGAAGGAGCATGCTGTTGCCTACACTATAGCCGGACGAATGAGGAGCTGCAGACAACAACCACGGGATGATGGCTACACTAACGAGAGGACCAACAGGCTCCTTTTATATTCGAAGCATGCTTCTCACGCAGAGATGTTGCGGCACAAAACACCGACCTTCTGCTCCCTTGGATAGAGTCTAACCTCCCTCCTTGTGTAGCGGCAAACCCAGTCGGCCGGAATTAGCTAATAAGAGAGCAAGGTCAGCAAGCATTCCCGCGAGATACTGTATCGTATATCAGGTCTTTCCGGCCTACTAGGGTTTCGGTCACACAGGTAGGGCAGTTGTGTTGGTTGTCAAGGAATGCCCACAAGTGTTTTAATTGACTTAGTTGATTTGGGATCCAAAAGCTCAAATAGGCTAAGCTTGATCCAACTACGGTACAACAATTTCAGGAATGCGCAGTGCTGAACTACGCCGCAATATAGAGAAGATAAGAAGGTGCTGCGGACACTGCTGCCAGAACTCAACCCGCTCCACGAGCGAATGATGCTGCAGATAGCAGCTCAAGACACCGAGAATACAGAGCACTGTGAAAGCATTTCGGCCGATCACACTTGCCTTCCGGCCACTGCAGCTGAAAGAGCTCGCCGCAGTTGCAGGCCTTCCCAGAGATCAATTTGGCGACATGAAAGCGGTCGGCGACCTTGTTAGCCGCTGCGGCTCATTTCTAACTGTGCGCAAAGACACAAACAAGCTATCACATATCAAAACATGCGATATGAGCATTGGTGTTGGTATTGTAGTTCTAGAAACATTAGGGTAGAGCGTCTCATGAGGCAGGTGCAACGGGAGGCACGAAGCCAGTCGCGCCGGTCATGCTCAACGCTTCTACCTGCAACAACAACGAAATCGGATGCACCTTCGCATCTCGTACCGTACATCTCAGATGAAGCAGGAAACATGCCTCTTACTGTGTTTGCTGCCCAGCATTGGCGTTCGCATGCGCTAGTTGCATACGCTTCTTCCATGATCCCAATATCTTGGGATCACGTGTCGCCTTGAAGTCCTCCTTGAACTTCTCATACGTCGGTAGCCAAAGCTTGTTGTGCTGAGTCGGAAAGAAAGACCACGCGACCATGTTCTGCTCCTCCGCTTCGGTCATCTCAAGACATACATACTGGCTAGCGTTGGTACCAGCGCTCCCGTCGTGGCTCTGGGTAATGGACAGACGGTTACCAATGCAGGTTTCATCACTGTTCGACCCTTCCGAAAACCAGCCCTGTATCATCGCGACAGACGAAACCAGTGTGATTGTGATGATCAGGAGTTGGACGGCAAGGCAGGCCATGCCTAGCGTGACAGCGTGGACACCGAAAGCTAGCCAGCAGATAGCACGGCTGACCAGGTGGAGTTTCTCGGAGGCTGGGCGAGCTTCGGTGAGCAGAACATCTTGCGCGATGCCAGTCGTGGTAATGACAGTCAGACGCTTACCGTTTGGCACGGTGATGAAGAGCTTGACTTCTTTCTTTTTTGTCGCCTGATTGTCCAACTGCTTGACAGCCTCGTCGATGCTATCGCGGAAGTCGACGAGAATGCAGGCTCGAACATAAACCAGAGCGACAAGACTGAGTGAAGCAGCGAGACCATACCAGTCTTGTATCAGCATCGGCCAGATGACCAAGAAAGCGTTCACTAAGAAAGCTAACCAAAATCCAACCCACTGCTCAGCCGGATGTCTAGGAACACGATGATCAGATTGAATCTCAAGCCGCGTAGAGTTGTATGACAGCTTCTGACACGATAGCCAGCGTGTAAACCAAGCGCTTAGATCAGTTGCCTTAATGCCTTCGGTGATGTTGTATAGTTCAAAGCCTGGAATCGGTTCCATGACTGAGTTATCGGCGAAGATGTGACCAGCGAGGAGAGGAAGATATTCGAAAGGTGAGTGGACGAGGCGGCCAAGGGACTTGCGGACCGCGTCGGCACCCAGAAGCGTTACGATACCGAGCGCATCGATCTTGAAGGGACTCCAGTTCTTGATGTTGACTGGTGACCTCATGATGAGACGCGAGATGAGAAGTGGGACGGCGGCGGTAAAGAGGGCGGCGGTAGATGCGGTACTGCAGTAATGAGTATATATTTCGAGCATCAGAGGGGTTTATACGTACAGTGTATCCATCGTTGTTTGTTCTAGCGGGTTGAGCAAATACGAGTGTGGTTGAGGTGGAGAATGGAAACCGCGGTGAGTTTCTGAAGCTTTATGGAAGGAGGGAGACTGGAAAGAGGTGCTTCTGGGCTATGGGAGAGAGGGGGATGTGCAAAGCAAACGACTGTGTCACGAGTGAAGCTCAGTGCACCCAGGGCATTGTAAGTACAACTCAGTCCATTCATTGAAGCGGCTGAAGTCGATTGACCTATCATGCATATGTCCTATCGCCACGACTTCCACCATCCCACCTTCACGCGTCCTTTTTTCCCTCTACATGTGTATCCTTCTTCTTGTACATCCAGTCCTCGAGTTTGTTAGCATAATATCCGTCCCCACCATTCTCTCGTGATGAGGAAAGGTGGGAAGTAGGCATGTGCTCGGTTCTCATTTGCCGATGAATATCGTCACGGTGTACGGGGCCAATAAGTTCGGGCGGCGAGATGGCACTGGGATATGGGAGATGGAGTTTCCTGTACTCACGTTAATCAAACTGCGCTTGAGAGCGAAACGAATTACTTACCGGCGCCGTTCTTCCAGCTCCTCTGCAAAACCCCCATACTGATCCTTGTACTTGACGAAAATCTCTGCTATACACTCCATGTGTTTCGAAACTACCAGGCCAGTGTCTATATCCTTTCTAGCCGCGTGTAGTGCAGCCTTTTCTACTTCCAGTAAGTCGACCGGGAGAAGCCAAGGATGCCGATTGCCGCACTCTCCTTGCAGTACATTCGATGCTTCCCGAAGCATCTGCGAGCACAATCTCGCCGACTTGGCGTAATTGAACATACAGTTAGCTAGATCGAGCGACAGAAACATGCGGAATATCCCCAGGTAGTTCTCTGGATTCGATCTTCTGAAGTCAACTTGCATGTGCTCGATGGTGGATAATGTACCATCCATTGCTTGTACGATGCGACTTCCGTAGGCATTGATCATCGACCCGCCCATGGTTTCCTGGTGCTGGTAATTGTACATGATGGCGCGTAGCATGGAGATTGAAAGATCAATAGAACGCGGCTTCAAGGATCGTGTATCTCTGTCTAGGCGGCGCCTGTTCCTCGCAAAGTCATGAGCTTTGGCACCCATTGCTAGCCGAGCTCGTGCGGCGCAGTCTTTTACAGTCTTTGGTACGTCTGATGCACAAAAGATCTTCTTCTTCTCAAAATGTGTCATCGCTGTATCGAGCATCTCCCATCCATTCTCAAGAATTGCTTTAGTCGGATCGTTGGAATGGCGGAGCTGCAAGAGCGCATTTTGGAGATGTGCAGCCGAAGAGATTGACCCCTGCACAAGTTCTTGGTCCGTTTCTTGCAGCTTGACCCCGATAACACGGTAGAGTAGTCGAAGCCCAGCCCAGACGGGGTTGAGCAAGAGATATAAGCTCATGAAATCGCCGGCGTCTCGAGGCTGTGCAGCAGCTATGCCTGGGGTGTGTGGCCATGCCCAAAGATGAAGGCTATCTGCTGTCACATCCTTAGGACGAGGCATTTTGTACAAGTCGAGAAGAGCCACATCCGTGTCGAAAAGCAATTCGAAAACTTCATCGAGTCGGCTACTAAACCATGAGCCGCCATCCTGGAGATGCGTTGCTATCAGAACGTCCAGAAACATCTGTGTTACCATGACTTGCTCAACACCAGGCTTTATGCCACTAGCTTCCGTAGCGAGAGCGTCATACCAAATGCGGGTGAAGCTATCGGCGTCAGGGAATAGCATCTGTCTGCCGACACCTGCTTTTGGTTGTATGGTCTTGAGAGTGCGCAAGCATCCCTCAAGCCTGTCCAGCGGAGTCGTGAGCTCATCACCCCGACGCTTATACTCTTTGAACTCGTCCGAGGCTTCAGCGAAGTTGATGCGCAGACAGTCCTGCATCCCGTCAAGCTTACTTGAGTCCTCCGCAAACCGGAACGCCTTGAGGTAGGTGTGCTGGAGTATACCCGCGGCCAACTTGTGATGCTCCGTCTGTCGTGGGGCTGATGTGTCGGTTATTGGTGTTGCTTGCTGATCTTCTGTTCCTGTCATAGGCTCAGCAGGAATTTGCAGGCCTCCTTTCACTTCTGGCTCAACTAGCAACATCAAAATCTCATCCATGGATTTGATGTCTGGAAACTTCTCCGTGAAATCACGTGCAAGTGTACAAGCAATCTCGTTTGCACACTGTGTCATCGCGGCAGTGGACATCAGGTCGGCGAAGGCTCCTTTCCTGTCCATGAAGATTTTCCAGTGATGTCGAACAGTGAGACGGAGCTCAAAGAAGTCTTCCAGCAAGCAATGGATGGCCATCAAGGTATCACCCTTTGAGTCGAGTTGATACAAAGTCTCCTCGGGAAGGTTCTTGGAATTTGACGTTGGTTTGGGTGCTGGTGAGATCTCTTCTTGATCGTCCTCGTCCTTGTCCGACACATCTGTCCGTTCGAGCACCCCAAAGGTATTCGTAGACCCCGGCGCAGCAGCTGATACAGACTTTGTGGCGCTTTGTGACTTGGGTGGACGCTGGACAAACGGCTGAAGCAGCTTACGTACAGTTTCTAACGTCGTGTTGAAGTGGCTGTGCGTATCGTTGCTTCTTTGGAGGTCTGCATTACCCGAACACTTTTCTTGCAGTTTGAACCAGGTAGAGCACTCCACGCGAGCAACCAGGGCATTCGATAACGCCTCATACACAGAACGGGGTACATGGGATGGCGATGACTTCGTAGATGCAATATGTTTCGCGCACTCCATGAGCTGGTGCGTGGTGAGCTTCTGTGAAGATCTGTGGGGTTCCGATTTCTCCCGTTCACGGGCTTCTTTTCTAGCCTTTCCCTTCAGCCGTGGGCCTTGACGAGCGGCTGGCTGAGGAGAGTCGGACGTATCGGGGTTCTCTTGAAGATGAAAACCGGAGCTTCCCGCAGTCACAGCCAGCCATGTAACGAAGTAGTCTGTATCCTTCTTGTATCGCTTGAAGGATCCGTTGAGGTGATCAGGAAGCATGTTCGCGTCTGAATGAGTAGACCTGCTGTATGCGAGCGGAGTAGCCCAGGGGGTCAAGTGGTATCGGTGATAAGGTTGGGAGTTGTAGGGGCGAGCGTCAAAGCGCTATTTATCTTCGGTAGTCAAAGCTGGATCTTTTTAGATTGGTAAAGTCAAACCTCTGCCCTGTAAGAGGTCGTACATTAAATAGTGCACTCTTTTTATCAAGGCTTGCTTTTGAGAGACATATCTCTCGCGGACAAGCCACCTGAGACAAGCCCATGTCACGAGCCAAGACAATTGAGGCTTTGATCAAGACCTCATGGGCAATACCGTAGCTCTCTCAGATCTCGCCACATGTGAGATCTGTGTCAGTAGCTCAGGTATCAGTAGAACCTGATTCAGGGAAGATGGTACCCACTAGAAACGCTAAGAATATCTCCGCGGTAACAATTGTGAGTGGACGTGCATATCCCTCCTTCACACATACTGTATTGTACCAAAGTAACCCGACTCCTCGGTGATGCAGGCCAAAATGAGAAACATAATGCCCAGAGTGGAGAGATGATTAAGAAAGAACGTATTGTGTCGCGAATGCTGGAGGTGTATAAGAAGTAACGTGCTCTAGAGACGACGATCGAATCGCGCGGTCGCGCCATGGCCTCCTCTGACCAACTCTCATTGATGCTTGACGCGTAGTGGTATGTTTGTTGACTAACGGCACTGGATGGGCGGTCGCTGAACTGTCTTGAAGCTGAGGTTTGAGTGAGCTGGCCTGGCCACAGCGCGGCTGTGACCGGGACGCGCCCGACGCGAGGGACAAAGTGGGCCTGCTTAGTCATCATGCGCCTCCAGCCCGCAGCCGCGACCTGGGCAGGCGCACGCGTCGCAGCGTCGCAGCGTCGCAGCATCACCGCACCGTAAGACATTAAAAGAAGGTACGTGTGTTCTTGCTATGGAGGACTCATCTCGCAATGGGAGAAGGCGCATTCGGAATCGCACGCCTGAACTGCTAAAACTCCTACTGGAAGCATGCTGTCCAGCAATGGAAGACCCCCGCCTGCAAACGCGTCCACGGGTGTTACAGTTCCTGACACCAGCGGCATGCAAATCAGTTGTTTGAAGGGTAACGGTAGTCAACGACCGGGAAAAACTCCTCCTTGATCTGCCGTGGAGAAACGAAGCGAAACATGGGGTTCGAAGAGCCTGCCTTATCGTTGGTTCCACTTGCGCGACTTCCGCCGAAGCTCTGCTGGCCGATGAGCGCGGCAGTGGTTTTGCAGTCTGATAGCTTCGTTAGCTTTCGCGCTGAGCGGCACTACGGTAAGACTCACTGATGTAGAAGTTGCCAGCAGCGTAGCGGAGCGCGTCTTCTGTCTCACGTATAGCCGTACGGGAGTTGGCGAAAACAGCACCCGTGAGCGCGAAATTACCACCAGCTTGATCAACCTTCTCTAGAATCTGGTTCCACTCCGCATCAGGGTAGACGTATATTGCGAGTACAGGACCGAAGATCTCATAGTTGAAGAGCTTGTGGTCTGGCGAGTCTGCGAGGTAGACGGTTGGCTTGATGTAAAAGCCTTCAGAGTCATCATAGGTACCGCCAACCAGGAGCTTGAGCGAAGAATCCTGATTGCTTTCGTCGATGACAGTCTTGATCTTTTCGAATGAACGACGGTGAATGACTGGGCCCATGAAGGCGGCGAGATCTTCGTGTGGATTACCCTGAGTAATACCCTTAACATCCTCGACCAATGTGTCGATGAACTCCTTGGATCGAGACGCTGGGAGATAGAGGCGAGACGTTGCCGAACACTTTTGGCCTTGGTATTCAAATGAAGCGCGAACGACGTGCTTCACTGCAGATTGGACATCCGCCGTTGGATGTAGTAGAGTGAAGTTCTTGCCGCTAGTCTCTCCTACCATCCGTGGGAATTCGCGATATGTATTGTTTCCGATACCCTGACCGATACGAGCACAGAGAGACCTAAAGACGTCTGAGGAACCTACGAAGTTAAGCCCAGCGAAGTCTCGATGGTTAAGCACGACATCGTTGATCTCTTCGGGCTCTCCGGGCACGAACTGAATGACATCAGGTGGCAGACCAGCCTCAAGCAAAATTTTGTACACGAGGGTACTCGCGTAGATATTTGAAGGCGATGGCTTCCAGAGTACCACATTTCCCATGATGGCAGGGCCCGAGATCAGGTTACCGCCGATAGCTGTAAAGTTGAACGGCGAAACAGCGTAGACGAAGCCTTCCACCGGGCGGTAGTCCATGCGAGACCACATCCCGTCTGTACCTCGCTCGGGTTGTTTTCCCAGGATCTCCGCCGCGTAGTTACAGTTCAACCGGAAGAAGTCCGCCAGCTCAGCAGCGGCATCTACTTCGCCTTGCCAAATGTTCTTCCCTTGACCAAGCATGGTTGCCGCAATGAGCTCATACCGGTACTTGGTCGCTACTAGCTCCGCGGCCTTGAGAAAGATTGCCGCTCGATCAACAAAAGCCGTATCCTCCCATGACTTCTTAGCTTTGAGGGCCGATTCGATGGCTATTGAGACCTGCTCTTTGGTTGCGAGTGGGTAATTGGTGAAGGTTGTCTGGTGCTCCGCCGGTAACGGCTGATCCCAAGATCTAGAAACTTGTTGCGATTTGCCATTGAAGTGAATCTCGCTTTGAAGGGGAATCTGCGACTTCATGCGCTTTAGGGTCACCTCCAGCTGGGTGCGCTCCGGAGAGCCTCTCTCGTAAGTCGGATTTGGCTCGTTGCGTGCATCAGGTAGCCGGAATGGTACTGTGGCTTTTGTACGTAGCTGGCATTGGGGGCGGCGGAATCTCGATACATTGGTCAGAGGCCGCCTTGTGTTCTCAGAGAGCCGTGCGAGGCTTCGGGTGGTCGACATGGTGGGGCAGAGAGAGGTATGATGAGCACTCTGTCGTGGATCTACCTTCTATACCTGCCTCTCCACGATAGTACTTCGCAACGGCAATGCATTCCGACGACACATACTATGCCTAGCGATATCGCTGTGACTCTCATGCCCGCGAATACCCGTTTGCGACAAACAGCACGGCGACTTGTGGTTGGCTGATAAGCTTACCATGCCATGCCATCGCTGCGCAAATTGATCGGGAGGCCTCCCGACATATGGTCGCGCAAGTGGCATTACGGCCAGGGCACTGAACCGGAAAAGACCTTCACACCCAAATAACGTCGCCTCTCCATTGTCGACCACAAACCCATTCCCAACGGTGCTAAGAGCTCCAATGGGTCAATCTGTAAAGCGGTGGTTGGGACGCTCGATGAGGAACGCTCGTGTGAGGGACGGAAGCGCACCCGACGCACGGCTCAGTGTGCGAGGCGCTAACCCAGCCGCTTAGATTGATCATCCAGGGGAACGCGTAGGGCGTCGTTACGTCGACGCGTCATTTCAGAGTCGCGGCCACATCACAGACTACGTTGCGATTGCGGAAGGTATGCGTGAGAATGCTCAACTGGTAGACGGATGATCTTTGGTGAGGATCAGAGAGGCCCACTCACGCACACGATGGCAGGTGCCAAGCGATGACATCAGCTCCCTATCAGTCCCCGCATTAGTGCCCAGGTGGTATCTAGCCGGAATCGGCCGTCGATGTCTCTGGCTCATGACTGCAGAGCTTCTGCATGCGAGCTTACACGCGTTACTTCCGCGTCGTTACCGACAACCTCGTTAAACTGCCCAGGTGTCCATCCGATTTGTGAAGAGCCTCGGCAAGCACGATGCCATCCTCCAACGACCACCAAAGAGTGACTAAACGATCATCAAACGCGTACGCAGCTTGCGTGGTGCCGATGTGATGCACTATTGACAACTACGGGTAGTTGCTCGCGATGCAGGAGGCAGAAGATCAAATGCTCAGGACAGCAGCCGTGCTCCAATTGTGGCAGACGAAGCCTTACTTGCATCTTCGATGATAGAGAAAACAAGATCCTAGTGACTCAAGGGTAGCTTACGAGCACTATTATCTGGATGAGCAAACTCTAATGGTGCTCAGATATCTCTCCGATCTCCAGGCAAAGATAGCCCGGTTGGAGCAGAATCCAACATACGAGTCGGGTGCATCACAAGCACGAATGACGGCTAACAATAGGACGGCTCAGGCCAGGGATAGAAGCTCACCAGCAGCGGATGACAATCGACCACCGGCGAACCCATCGAACTTTGAGGGGACGAGGGACAATTCACCCATATCTAGACCCGACCCAGATGAAGCAAATCTGATGAACCCGCTTATTGAGTCCTCCAAGTTCATGTCTTCATCCTCTGGACGGCCATGTAAGCTCTTGGTATACGCTTAATGAATCACAACTAAGAGCTTTCGTAGTTTATCTAGGCACGTCTTCGAACTGGTCTTTCCACGGACAAATCCTCAATTTGGTGCATGAGCACATCCGAAAATCACCGTTACCTAGCGCCGAACTGCTATTTGATGGCTCGGCATACGAACATCTCTGGGATGGCACACGTAGCCGTCCAGACTCCATCTCTCCGATCATACCTAGTATCGACTACGCCATCTTTCTGTTCAATGCTGTGAAGTTTCACTGCGCCCAGCTTGTCCATCTCTTTGACGAAGACGAGTTTATGGTAAACTTGCATGCCTTCTACTCGAACAATGAGAGAGATACATGGGAAGACAGCTTGTGGTACATACACTTTCTTCTCATTCTAGCTTTTGGAAAAACCTTCATCCAAGGGAAGAGTCAGACGCAACGGCCGCCAGGCGCCGACTTCTTTACCCACGCTGTTCAACTTTTGCCTGATACCAGTCGTCTTTGCCGCGAGCCTTTAATTGCAGTCGAAATACTTTGCTGCATAGCGCTATTTCTGCAAGCCTTGGACTCAAGAAATGCAGCACATGTAACAGTACGGCGTCAATTATATCTTGTCGATATTGACTAACATTGCTAGATTGGTCAAGCCATGCGCATATCAATGATTGAGGGAATGCATACCGATATGCCGGTGGAAAAACTAGGCCAGCCTCTTGTTCAGCGATGCCGTATGATTTGGTGGACGGTATATATCCTCGACCGGCAAATGACATCTTTGATGGGACTACCTCAGTCGATTCGAGATGAGGATATAACTTGTCAGCTTCCAGATTTCGGGGGCTCAGCTCAAAGAGTGACAGCCATCGACATACAGATCAAGCTTGCACGTATATATGCGGAAATAGCTAGGAGTATGTCCGTCGACTCCCATCTCATGTACGCCATTGCTGACCAACCATGTAGCTGTTTATGGTTCTAAAGGTCGGCTACGCAAGAAGTTTGTCTTAAGCATCAAGGCCGTCTTAGACGATCTTACATCCTTGGCGGAAGAACTCCGACGTTCATTCCCGCTGCATGCGGACGAGCGCTTTGGCGGAATCTCGAGGATGCCGGCTTATCTACATCTACTCTACTATCAAGTAAGATCCACATCTCTCGCGATACCTGACAATTCTGACGGACTACTAGACAATCGTTGTTGTGACGAGACCGTTGCTCTTCTGTTGCATGAAGAAGGTCTTTGAGTCACCAAGAGAGGTGCAACCGCTAATCTCCTCACGCAAGATACGCCATCTACTGTGCATGTCACTTGAATCTTCTCAGAAGATCATCGATATTCTAGAGATTCTACACAATCAAGGATTACTAGGTATAGTGCTCAGCTATTCCGCCATGCCGTGGACTGACCATGACACAGAGACCTTCCTCCCCTGGGATCTTGATGCACTCTTCGTATCAACTGTGGTCCTGATTTTGACGCGTTTTATTGATCATAGTCTAATAGACGGCCCAAAGACATATCTGGACAAAGCTTACAGCTTCTTCAAGACCATTGTGTCTAGCGGCAATCGCATCGCAGGGTTTCGCCACGCGGAGCTCCGCAAGCTTGACGGGATGTTGGCGGAGTACTCCGAGAACAGGGAGCGACCATCAACGTCACCTAACATTATCGGCCTGGAACCAAACATGCAACGTCCATCCTCATTTCCTCCAGGCTATCAATCTGTAGCCGGTCTGCCGAATTCGCAAGATACGGTGCCACCATATTATACAGGAATAAGTGACGAGGGGAGTGGATTCGGTGATGATTTGACTGCCGAGCAGATATTGGCTGTAGCAGAGTCTATGGACATGGAAGGAACCGACTGGCTTTCTTTTGCAACGTTGGAAGACTACCAGGTTATTGATCCGAACATCTAATGACTAACATCACCATATGGATCACGCGTAATGCCCACGACGGGTTTCACGGAAGGCGCACACAAGTCGAAACCTCTACATATTTGCCTTTACCGCTTCCTGTCCTTGCACATCGCGAATCTCTCTAACAGTTCCTATCCGCCAGCTCACATCGTGGTCAAAGCTCTCTGCCTTGGCCTTCTGCTTTGGCACTCTCCAACGCCACCTCAGAATACTCTGCTTTCCGTCGGGTGCGTTCAGTAGGTTATCCACCCACCTTCCGACGATCGGGAACATCTTGAAACCATGACCGGAGTCACCCGACAGTATTATGACCGAAGAGGAAGTGTTCGGCACGTAGTCGACGATGAAGTCTGAGTCTGCTGTGTCTGCAAACCAGCATATAAACTTCTCTACCAGAGGCCGATCGGCAAGGTAGGGCAGTGTTTGGCGGAGAAGTTCGCGCATCTGTTCTTCGTCGTCTTTCGGCACGAAGCGCATGAGCTCTTGCGGTGCTTCGGATATCCCGGTGCTTGGGTTAGTGTTGATATAACCACCTCCCATCGGGCATATCTTGAGGAGATCCGTCTTTGGGTCTGGCTCGAAGAAGAAACCGAGGTCGCGGGCGTATGTTACTGGGATGCCGCGAAGTGCTGCCGTCTCGTCATCGGTAAGGCGGACGTGTGCAACTGACCACGATTTCGCGGACACTTCGGCACCGACCTCAGGAACAATCTTGTGGGCTGCGGCACCAACGGCGACAATGACTAACTTGGCGGCATGGAATTGCGCAGCCTTTGTTCGAACACCGATGCTCTTCCTGCTCTTGCCAGATCCCTCATATACGATCTTCTCTATCGCACCGACTTTCTCACCCAAGAAGAATCTAACGCCATTCTTCCTGGCCTCGCGATAAATTCCTCTCAGCGCATTAGCTGAGTGCACATAACCGTCGTACTTGGACACGTATCCCCTCCAGCCGGGCATGTCACCGGTGAACTGCCAAGCTCCAGCTACATCACGTACGTCTTGAGGGCCCGAGATGGGATGAAAGAAAGGCTTCATCTCCGGGTGCTTCTCCGCAGCCGCTTGGAACCGGTGCAGCGTTCCCACTGCTTTTTGGGATGCAGCACCAGAAACGACATTAAGATAGCCAACCCGGTGGAAGTAAGGCGCGTAGAGGGGAGTTTGCCAGGCGTGGGTGGCTTCCTTTTGGTATGTCAGTCATTGCTCGAACGATCAATCCCTCATAGCATCGCTCGGGGTGCAGACAGCTACATACCACGGCCAAATCTGTATAGAAATCGTCTTCGTATTCTGCTCGCATGATCTTGTTCAGATCGTTGCCAGCAGACCATCGTGATGGGATCTCGTCATCTTTCTCAAAGACCGTGATGTTGGTGTAGCCTTTCCTGGAGAGCTCAAGAGCCGTGGAGAGACCGAACGCGCCTCCCCCGATGATGGCTATAGCGTCGCTTTTAGAAATATTCATGGTGACAAAGCCGGGAAAGATGTGAAGTACGAATGCAAGGATAAACACTTTGGGGCGTCACAGTATGTCATGACACCCTGGAAGTACAGGCGCAGCCGTGCGACGTGAGTGTCCAGTCCTTACATAACACGAAGCCATTGACCGCACTCCCATCACACTGACGATACGGGACCATGTCCGCTGTCGCATGAATTGTCGACCCCCGCAGATGTTGCAAGCGTTATCGTCGTGATGTGATGCTTGCTCCTGACTTGCTCAGTGCACGCTAGTGTTATCGATAAGTGCGTCCCCACAAAATGTCTGACGCTGTTTGGTCCGTGTCTTCTCCCGTCCTGCAAGATCGGATGGCCTCCCGACACTTCGAAAGCGAGACTTGTATCGCCCAACCGTATTTCATGCCCTCTTCTGGCATGGATGGTAGGTCGACTTGCTGGCGTCACGACGACCGAGCATAGCCGTGATGCCTGTGACCGAAGTCGCGCGGTCAGTGATAGGTTCCACATCGTCAGCCTCCAGCAAGTCCTTCTTCGTACATTGGGTATCATCTTCTAATGGCATGCCAGAAATGTAGTCAAAATAGCACTCTTAAACGGTGTTTTCTTGCTATGTACTTCTGAAACTAGTTCTTGAACTCATTTCGACAGCCACGGCTGTTCTTCGCAACGAAGCCCTGTCCTACATGTCGACGCTTTACACACCCCATTTACGACCAACGATAAGCTCGATAAGATAGTTGCTACATGGACGAATATAATGATCGAATACTTGCCAGCCTCATTTCTCTTCTGTCAAGACGCATCGTCAACGTACTTCTCTAACTAGGAGGAAGACGTGCGCTTTGTCCAGACATGTTTTCCGAACGCTGCAACGAGATCATGTATCGCGACAAGGCATACCTCTTCGCGTGATACGAGCAGAGTATAGGAGTGTTCATAAACGTAATACTCAAAAGGTAGCTTCGCTCTTATATTACGCCGACATCGTCATGCATAACCCGATCCAAGCCGCGTCGTCAAACAACCCCGCATTGGCCTACGTCCAGAAGGACGTCGCGTTCGGTCATTATCACCATTGGTCTCGTTCTGCTTATCACTTCGCCTCTGGCATTATACTATTGGTAGTGCCGACCACATCCGGACTTTCCACGCGATTCGGCTGCACGTCCGGGCTATGGACCTGGATGCGATAGTCACGAGCATGGCGATGCCCCACGTTCGAGACGTGGAGCGGGGTCGTGCATCATATGGTAGAGATACGGGTTGAGATAAGGAAGGCGATGAAGAGGTAGAGTTGGAGGAGCATTCTACATATTGGCTTCAATCGTCTATCTTGAAACACTTCTCCATCTATGGCTGGCTTCCTTAGTCTCGCCACCTCATATTGGATTCATGATGCTTCATCAACGGCTTACTAGATCAACACTGCGTTGTGTAGCAAGCAGGAAATACCTCATCAATGGCTTCAACACGTTCGAGACACGTCTCAGCTCTACAACTGCACTGCCACGGATAAAGGCTTCGGCTACACAAATATCAAAACCGTCACCCACACAATACCCGCTATCAGCAATGCCGACGCACATGTTGCTCCGTTCGCTCTTCGTCGCCACAATATCATCTAACAAGTTCCTTCTGATACCATCACTCAACCTGCTCTCCTTCTTCTCGAAACCGAATCGAAGCCTGTTGTTCAATATAGATCGAAACCCTGTATTGAAAGCTATTCTGAAGAGGACCCTATATAATCAGTTCTGCGCCGGAGAAACACAACAAGAGACACGAGCTTGTGTAAAGCAACTGAAAGATTTAGGGTTCAAAGGGGTGATCTTGACATATGCGAAGGAAATGGTGTTCGATCACAAGACCAAGTCTGCAAACCATCATACCTCGGATAGCTTTGTCGATGAAAAGACTAGCATGGCGCATGATGCAGATATCGAGGCATGGAGGGTAGGCACATTAGGAACACTTGATCTCATCTCCGAGGGAGACATCTTGGCTCTGAAGTAGGTATAATCACGATGACATACTGAATGTATCACTGACATCTTCTAGAACGACAGGCGGTGGTCCAGCCGTCTCATCAGCATTCAGCAAAGGCGAGCTTCCACCCCAGCAAATGCTCGACGCCCTAGATGAGATAGCGACCCAATGTAAAGCACGCAATGTCCAGATCATCATCGACGCTGAGTCTCAGCACTGGCAAGAAGGCATTGCTCGCACGACACTCGAACTAATGCGCAAGTTCAACCGCAATGGTAAAGCTGTCATCTACAACACATACCAAGCCTACCTCAAAGACACACCCACAGTCCTCGCACACCATATGGCCAAGGCGGAAAGAGATGGGTTTACTCTTGGTCTCAAGCTCGTGCGTGGTGCATACATCCTTTCCGACAACCGCTCCTTGATCCATGACACCAAAGAAGACACAGATAACGCCTACAATACGATAGCACAGGGTGCGCTTCGTCAGCAAATAGGCAGCTTCGGGGCATTTGGATCATCTGCCCGCCGGTTCCCTTCTGTAAATCTCTTCCTTGCATCTCACAACCGCGAAAGCGTGCTTTCGGCCCACAAGCTCCACAGACAGCGCTCGGAAGCCGGTCTGCCTACTGTTCCCGTCGCTTACGGACAGCTTCACGGCATGTCAGATGAAGTCAGCTTTTCCCTGTTAGCGGAGAAGGGGGCAGGTGGCAAGGCGCCTGAGGTGTTGAAATGCACCACTTGGGGTAGTATGGGCGAATGTGTGGGGTATCTACTTCGGAGGGCTGTGGAGAACCGCGATGCCGTGTTGAGGACTAAGGATGAGTTTACCGCATTGAAGAAGGAAGTTAGGAGGAGGTTCTTCTGGGCGTGATAGAGGGTTGCGAAACTACGCGTAGGAAGTCAAGAGTGGTCAAGTTGTATGAGAGTAGCGGGGCTTGTACGATGCATGATCGTAGGATGCGCATGAATTATCCGTCATGTTTTAGGTGTCGTAGTCATAGTCATAGTCAAATATGACGACTGCTTTGTTGTAAATAAGTGACTACTGTCGGTGTCTGCTTATTATTTTTGTCAAGGGTTCATTGGGATGCAGAAGAGATGTAGGCACGCATGTGGGTCTCCGTAGTGGCTTTCCCCGCTGACAACTGCGCGGAAAAGAGTGGGGGCCGGCTTCCTTCCCGAAACCATCAAACGAAGCCATCAGATCCAATGCGCAGAGTAGAGATATCACTAGTCAAGTACGCTGGAGAGTTTGAAGCTCTTTTGAAAAGGTCAGGGTATTAAAATCCGGAGTCGTACATCAGAGTTACGACAAACGACGTTTCCCAAGCCGCAGGCAACAACACTTTCGCAAGCGACAATGTTAGACAAAACACTATGCATGCTGGGATGCGGTAAGTGCCCCCCACGAAGAACAATGACATGTCTCGAACAAGACCTCTGAACCACCATCGATTAGGCAATCTCGGCACCTCGATCCTCCAAAGCCTCCTAAACGCGCCTCCGGACTCCTTCTGCGGCATCACCCAATTCATCGCCTGCGTGTCAAGCGAATCCTCCGAAAGACGCCTCAAATTCGTCTTCTCGCGGTACGAAAACGTGCAAATCACGCGAGACGACAACGTTTCCGCCATCAAGAGCTCGCATGTGATCATCCTGGGCGTCGATCCGTCCCAAGTAGAAGCCACATTAAGCGATATCGCGATTATAGAGGCATTACGGGGGAAACTGCTCATCAGCATAGTAGCAGGCTGGACGCGCGATGCGATTGAAAGACTCATTGATGCGGAGTGGGAGGTTTGGGAGGGTATTCGGGATCAAGATACGAGAGGAGCTTGGGTTCTACGTACACTACCGAATGTGGCGGCGCTTGTCTCGCAGTCTTTGACTGCTATTGAAGATCATCCTTCACCCACCTTCCCACCTCATTTCAAAGATATAGCAACAGCCATCTTCACGCAAATCGGCAAACCCATGTCCATACCAGCCGCCCTCATGCCCGCTACAACAGCCGTCTCAGGTTCCACACCCGCATTCTGGGCCATCATCGTCGACAGCCTCATCGACGCTGCCGTTGCTGTTGGGTTACCCCGCAAAGTAGCTCAGGAGCAGATCTACCAGAGTATGAGGGGCAGTGCGGAGATGCTTCAGAGTGGGATACAGCCGGGCGAGCTGAGGGATATGGGAACGAGTCCGGAGGGGTGTACGATTGCGGGGGTTATGGTGCTGGAGGAAGGTGGAGTGAGGGGTGTGTTGGGAAAGGCGTTGAGGGAGAGCGTTACGGTTGCTAGGGCTATGGGGAGGGTTGGGGAGAAGGGTGAGGAGGAGGTGCATGTTAATGATACTAGGAAGATCTAGTGAGGGTCGTCCGATTTCGGGTTGAGGCATATGATACAAAGGCCTACAGCACAGTCAGCATAGACACTCAAAGCATGAGAAAGCAAACCACAACACCACATCACATACACACAAACAGCGAGGAAAGTCTTAGAATCATCAACATCTGCTTACTACTCACTACCTACTCACTGGATATAAACCATACCACAGCACGTCAACCGTCGCCGTAGCGTAAACGTACATCCATCCCGACTAAAGGGGCGCATGTGCGTGCGAACACAAACTGCGCCTGATCCTGTTGAACCCATGCTAATGCACCTGCCTGTGATCAAGGTATTTCCCCCACCTTTCGCTCAAACCGAGCTGTCCTTGAAAAGATATAAACGCCAGTTGGTAGTAAGGTTGAAAACGCCAAAAGTAACCCAAATAGGTATACCGGAGCTAAGTAGCAAATGAGATCTGTTGTGACGCCCAAAGGAGAATACACACGTGGTAGGTTCGGAGGTGGTGAAGGAAAATATACACGGTAATGTAGAGTGTGACTGTGTGTGTGAAATACGAACAGTGAATAGTTGCGTTGATACTTCCTTCTCTTTCTTTGTTCTTTAGCCTTCTTTGGGCTTTCAATACTGTGATGACGATGTTGTCATGTTTAGAGGATGCCAGCCCACATGCCTGGGCCTTGTGGGCGGTAGGCTTGCGCGACCTCGGTGCTGCAGCACGACCTCTTCTTGCCAAAGTCCTTCTGGATAGGAAGACGCGAGCAATAAGGAACAGTGTTCTTAGGGGACTGCAGCCCCTTTGGTTCACTGCGCGAGAGGGCGAATGATTGCGACACTGATCTATCAGGAAGCACAGGCTTCTGACCACGAAGGTCGAATGCGGAGCGAGTGCTGTGAAGCAAGTGTCGCACATTCTGCTGGAGATCAACTGAAGACCTTCCACGCTTGCGGCTTGCGGGAGTGACGCACGCAGGGCTGTCGACCTTGCCTGGCGACGAATCCGAATCATCAATATGGAAGCTGTCCAGATCGGGTGAGGACATGGGCTCACTTGGAGCATACTCGTACTGCTCTTTGCACTTCGACAAAACCGGGTACGGGAGCTTCGCGCTGCGGCAGGTCGCCAACCGAGCCAAGCTGGCCTGGCTTTGGTTTGGCGCCCAGCCGGCAGACGAGACCGACGAGATTGATGAAGCACGAGAAGTGCGCGAGTTGTCCGAGATCATTGACTCTGGAGAGGATGATAGAGATGAGTTGGAAGGAGCCAGGGAAGGTCGTCGGCTTGGGAAGTGGTAAGCTTCCAGTCCGTTCCTGATGCTTGGGTTGAACTGGTCTACACAGGTGCGTGCCAGTGAGGAGCACTGTGCCTGTTGCATTGCCGTGCACATCGATGGGCGGCGCGATCCGAAAGCCATGGCACTCGCTGCAGGAGTGTTGCTGGTGATGGATTGCGGGGTCAAGGATGGGGTTGGTAGTGGACCCAAGCGAGCCAGGGATGGCAGTGACGGAGTGTGGGGAAGATCAGGCTTCGGCTCTAGGAAGCGAGGCACTTGATAGCGAGATGGAGTTGGTGTGCTCTCTTGCGATCCGTAGCCATCCATCGATGGGCAGCGGTAGGGCGACGCGTTCAACTGAGGCCTCAGAGGAGGACGTACGGGAGCGTTTGCTGACTTCTTGGGAGCCAACTGGACGATATCCAACTCAGGTGTCAAAATAGGAATGACATCTTTCCAAGTGTTGGGGATGCTAGCGCCAGGTGATGGCGGAGGAAGGGTAGGCGTGTGTCGCAGGACGACTTCTTGCCACTTCTCCCATACCGAATCAACGATGTGCAGTTTCCAGTTGACAGCTTCGAGGAAAGCCATCTCGTTGGTGTTGATTTCGCAAACCTTGAGACCAGAGATCTTGCTCCATGCGCGAGCCGAGTAGTTGCGGTCCTGTAAGTACTTGGATGCGAGGATAAGCGCAGCAAGGAACATGCGACGACCACATTGCAGCGCACGAAGAGATGCGTCTTCAGGCTGGGACATGGTGAAGTCGTGCTTGGGCAGGTGAGGCTTGATCAAGATCAAGTAGTACAAGGCAACTTGGAGAGTAGAGTAGCTGGTGCGAGAGCGACGGAGGGTCTCCTGAATGAACATGCGGAGAGGAAGCACTCCACGTCCAGAAGCATTCTCACAACGGCTCTTGGGCTCTGAAAGTTGCCAGATGACCTCGACCATCTGAGTAGCGGAATCTTAAGGAGGAATAATCAGCGGGGGAACCATGGTCCAGGGATAAAGCGTGTACTAACCGACGAGGCAATCGACGAAATTGACCTTTCGGTCGGATTGCCGTACCAATTGAGGTGGGGGCTTCTGGTTGACAGTGGTCGACGATCGGCGAGGATTCTGTCGCTGCTCCAGAGGTGCCAACAGCTCAGTGCGCAGGGAAGGTAATCTCTCCTGTACAGGCTCCCGGCACACCGTAGACTGGTACTGAGGATATGTGCTAACTCGGCTGATGGGCTGGAAAGCTGACAAGCTCGCAGGGTCGACAATTGTCGGCGGTGCCACTTGGTTGCGACTCCATTCTTCTGAGTCCCAGTTTGAGTGAGACGATGTGGAGCTTGCGCTTGACGCTTGTGACGCAGCGTCTGAGAATACAGAGGAGGTGGAAGAGGAAGCGGAAGAAGAAAGAGGAGCGGCATAAGGGTGGGTCTCAGCCATGTAGCCGTGGCTAGGGAGAGGAATGGCAAGACTCATGGTGAAGGAGGGGTATACAGGACGGGGCCTGGTAAGGAAAGGTAGACAATAAGGAGTGAGCGGAGATGGGACTAGGCTTTGTCGTTACGTCTCGAAGTGCTGACCGTTAGGTAGACCTGGAGGGGTGGCGCAGAGCGTGATCGGGTGGTCGTGGGGTGACCGAGAACTTAACCGATGGGACAAACCGTAGAGGACAACCCTGTGACCTCTGACGTATGATTCGAGACGCTGTTCCCTTGTTGGGATCTTTTCCTCGATCGCGAAATCTCCTCCGTCAAGTGGCCTGATCGTGTGTGATCGTGGTGTGACGGAAGCGGTCTAACGGTCTGAAGAGCTGGGAGAGGGTAGGTTTCGAAGGCGGAACGTATACGTAGGAGGTTGGTAGGGTTTGACGAGTCGCAAGTGGAAGTAGGATTCGAGCAGTGTCAAGTGGTCGAAAAGCTGCCAGGTGCAGACTAGAGCGGGCTCCAGTCACTGTCAACTGCAGAATCACCGAAACAAGACCGTGATAGAAGACCGTCCGCGAAGCACTCTGATACAGCTACTGAACAGCGGGCGCTGTCGCAAGAGCTGGATGTCTGAGGGGATGCGGGGGTCTAGCAAGCGAAGCCTTGGGCGAAGGCTTTGGTTTCGGAAATGGTGGTGAATTCTGAGCGACGAGTGACTGAAGTAGTGTAGGCCGAATGGCACATTGTGGTGATGAGGTGCGACGTGGGAAGCGTTCGAGGATGGCGACTACCTTGACGGGATCACCAAGCTGAGCGACTTCGCGTGTTCGCGGGGAGTGCGATGGGGTGTTTGAGTGTTTGTTTGTTGCAGGTGTTTGTTTTATTATTATTGGGGGTTGGTGTACATAAGAGCTGTTGGTGGTGGAGTTGGGAGGTGTAGGTCTGACGTGTGAGGAAGTGGCGGTCGGGAAGTCGGTAAAGGTGGGAAGGCGCGACTAGAGGGCGTCGGATCGCGACGCAGGTACGGGACGAGGAGGTATAAAAGGACAGGCTCTCTCGTCTCGACGATGACTGGAAGCGCGAGATGAGTCTATGCGGTAGGCGGCAGTGTGGCGGCGACAAAGGTCGATGCGGAGACTGCTACCTGGACAAAGATGGAATGGGTCGGTTTGGGTAGGTAGACGGGTAGGCGACAGAGAACAGACGACACTATTCGCGGTTGGCGTCCTAGATTAGGCCGCAGGGGGCGCTGTAGATGTTCGTGAAGTCCATTGCTGCTGTCTTGATGAGGGTGACGGGCTGGGCGGCGCTGGCGATACTAATAGGAACCCCGTACCTACAGCGCCCCCAGTCCAGTCATCGCACCCGGGCGCACTGGCCAGCTTGCCTCTTTGCCACACAACCCAACCTTGGAAGACTCATCGCGCTGGCTTTTTTTTATTTGCCATCAGCCAGACATGGCAGTGCGTGATTTGCAGCTGCGTTGCTTGGGCAGCGACGTCGCTTTCTTGCCCCCACCACACTGCAGTTGCGTGAAGCAGTTGCGGGTGCTCTACCCTCACCTCGTGAGGCGTGAGACGCTCCATCATCACGCATGGCTCCAAGGCTACAGGCATGCCAACACGGCCTGCCGCCATGCCTGGCGCAGCGGTAAATGGCCCTCTGTAACCCGCCCACTCCCTGCGCGCGCTGAGGCTGTTCACGCTGATTGCGACGCGACCAGCTGCTGCGACACACGGCGTCTCCTTTTCTTTCACACTAGGCGCGTTTGCTCTCGAACGCTCCGTGCCATGGTACGCTGGTAGCGCCAGAGTCGCAGACTGCCTGCTACACCCCCTCATTCTGCCTCCCAGCTATGTTGAGATGAAGGGACCGGCCGACTGGGAGCCAAGGACGCGTCTTCCCATTGCCTGCCGCGCCATTGGACGTGGAGGCGACGCCATGCCAGGAAGGGTTATTTTGTGCCTTCACCGTGCTTTTCGTGGCTATATTTGCGGCCGACCCCCTCGACGGCTGCTGCGACGCTCGTAATCTCAGCTGCTCAGCACGCGACGCCCTCATTTGCAGCCTAGCCGGCCGTCGCGGTGCCGTGATGCAGCAGCGATGGAAACACGGCAGGAAACGCCTCAGCGCAATCGCCATGGCACACAAACCCATCGCGATGACGCAAACGGCGCAAGCAGCAATGAACTGCTGCCAACACATCGCCGCCTTGCGCTGCGACGGCCCAGCTCCACTCCCCTCACCGCAGTGGCTGATGACGCCGGGCCTCTGTCCCAAAGCGATGCCAAACGCGTGCATCCGCCTCTGGCCTCGGCTCTCTACATCCGCGACCATTCGACCGTGTCTCGCGGGCGCGCGATGACCATGGTTCGCGCCTCCCACGCTCACAGCAGAGTTTGCAGCTGCATGTTCATCGTCGCCCCTTCCAGAAGCGCCAAGCGCCCGACGAGCTGACGACTCATCGGTGTTGCCCGCCCCCCATTAGCGCACCTCGGCTGCCGAGATGATCCGCCTTGGTTCAGGGCTGAGTCACGTCGACACACCAACGAGAGCCCTCTCACCATCTCCGCGCAGGCAGAAGAGACACTCGTCCTAGCGTGCCACAGACTAGATCCATAGCCTCACCCAACGGCGCAGATTTGCGCCATCCTGTGTGACCAACTTCCAAGTTTCTTGTACGAGGTACGAGGCACCTGACACCGTGTCTTCACCAGTCGCGTCGAGTAGCCTGGCGCGTAGCCACCGACTAGCATGAAACCATGATCACACGTCTTATTGATGATGATAAAGGGAGGTATGACTCACTGTTGCCTGCGGAAATCATCCTAAACAGAGGCCAGCCGAAGAGGGTTGGGCAGGCAACCGTGGGCGGCAGGAAGGCTGTGGCGGGACCGTTATGCCACTCCGATATCGACTTCCGAATCTTCGAACATGAAGACATATATCTCCCGATAAGATAGCGGTAGTTCAGGAAGGGTACGCTCAGGGTCTACGATATCCAATTTCGGTGAATAATGACATACTGGAAAGCACAGGTGTATAGTACAACCGGAGTATACCCACATACATGTTGAGCTCGATGATTAGTGTTACCCACTGTACGCGTACGAACTATCGAATCTTGCTAGCCGGCTGGAGAAGACATCGGTTCAAGTTGTACCCACAGTCGTTTTCGCCGTGCATGTAGCCCCCATGGTTCACGCAGCCAAACGTACTTGCGAAGAAGAACGAAATTGAAGAATGTACAGTCGCTCATACTCTGCTAGACTCCAACGAAACTATGGCTTCACTTCTTTAGTGGCCATCTATTTTCCCACGAGCGACCTGCGAGTTCTTGGTATATATCCTTCTATCCCAGGATATTCTCCTCTGCGTCGATTATAACCTCTTCGTCCTCCGTCAGCTCTCCAGACGCCTTCCCGAGACGTCTTTTTTGCGCCCGCAATATCGCAATTTCCGAGTCTGTCGGCTTCAGTGGCTTGCCTTCTCGCTCTCTCATCTTCCTATAGTCCCTTTTTGCTTCTCTTCGTAGACGACGTGCCTCGAATCTCCACTCGTGCTTCAACGAGCTGCGAGGTCCGACTTTGCCTGCTGCCTTCGCATCCTCTAAGCAGTTGCGCAGCAACCCTTCCAGCTCTTCCTTTGCATCCTTGTGCTGCTGATGCTTCAGTCTGATCGGAGGAAGATCAATGTCATACTCCAGGAGTGCTTTCGGCGCCACCGCTAAGACCTTCTTCTTGTATTTTCGGGAGAGTTTCTGCACCCGCCTATGACCTTCAATTTTCGTGCGGTTTGGTACAAAATGCAGATCCACCTGCACATCTTTTACCATGAGCTTCTTTGCAGCCTGCTGTACCCTTTCTACGAGAGCTTCATCTCGTCCCCACGAGAGATCGCTGCTCTTTTCAAGATTCGCAAGCACTTCTTGTGCATTGGAAAACACGATCAAGTGGTCGATGTGGTCAGCCATCGCCGCAGCGGCACGGAAAGCTTCCTGGATAGCGATGAGGCTAGCTTCAGTCCAAGAAGGATGATGGCTAACTGTGATGTGCGCTTCCCATTCTCCAGATAGAGGATCGTGGTAGCCTATAGCTGCGGTGCACGGGTCGTCGCGTCTACCTCCATTCCCATCGGCCCATATGACTAGTGCGCGAAGAGAGGTAGGTTGAGTGTAGCTGTTGAGCGCAAATTCTGTGGCCGCGACGGCGTTTTGGATATGGATCGCTCCGGGGAATGAGGACTTAGTCTCCTCTTGGGCGACCGCAGGATCAAAGGATTCGTTCTCATGCATCTTCGCTACGAGTTTGAGCGGTTTGACTGTGTTGATCGCGAGCTGCATAGTATGAGGGGTTAGAGTTTGCCGGGTTGTTTGGCTTCGACGAGGGATGAACAGATGCTCTGATGTCAAGTTTCGATCCTGGAAGGCTCGCGAGTTTGGGTGGTACCAGACTTTCATACCCAGTCAGCTTTTCCTCAGCATCTATATGGTCGATGAAATCGAACCGCGGATCACGATAGAGATTATCACATCTAACGCGCCTTCCATTCAACAGGATCCATATTTGCAGTCAGGCATTTTTCAGGCTATAGTAGTATAAAAGCTTACGCTCTTCCACTTCTAAGTCCTCACACCACACATCTTTTTCATTTCATCTGAGTCAGGATGGCATCACAGCGAACAGCTATCGGACGTGAAGACAAATTCTTGTCGGAGCATCAACTTCATGAATTCCGATTTCTTACCTCAGTCTTATCCTGGACAAACAACATTGGAAAGTCTACTGGCCATACTAAAGTCAACAATCCGGCCTCGAAACACGCACCACTGTACAGGTTCACCGCCGATCTAGCAGACTTGCTCGTCCGTCACTTCGAGGTTGTTGTGGTAACAGCTTCGAACGAAAAGAACCTTCTCGCAATATATGACAACAGTGGGGAAGCAGAACTAGATCCCCAAGAAAATGAAGAGGTGAATGTTACCCAGAATCTGCAAGACTTCAATCGAGGTACAGAGTCGGGAGACAAGGGAATGCATTCAACCCTTAACATCAATTCCACTTCGGCTGCTGCTGACGCCCCCCGCCCTGGATCCCCAAACCTGCCGGTCTTCATGTTTTGGCGGAAGCTAGAAAGGCCCTCAGTCACCGGTTGCAGTATATCTTGAATGGAGAGACAGCCCCACTTGGCTCAGACGATAGCTGGAAAACCGACGACACCTCACATCACTTCTCGATAGTGCAAGGAGACACTTCTCTGCCGCAGACTAGAGCCTACAGCTCTCCGCGACTGCCCACGGTCGTTGAAGGCTGGACATATCCGTCAATTCAGGGGAAAACCAAGAAAGTCTCTGCGCGACCGTAAAGCGCAAGCCAAATGTTACGATTGCAACGGGCGTATCGCGGGCATCTTCGCGCTAGGCAATTTCGGTCAACTCCCACATCGCGTGTCGAATCTGCATTCGCGCGGGCCTCACTCAATACTGGGCAAGAAGCAGCGGGGAAGCTACGATCGAGTCGCGGACGGCGGGTGATGGATAATCAGGCACCTGGACGTATACAACGAGCGCTATGCGGAGAATTCGCGTCTCGAAAGCAAGGGCTGGAGATCGTCGGCTTGTCAGGGCAGTGTCGGTGTTAGTGTAGTTGGAGGTGAGGCAATGCGCATAGCGACGTTTGGTTCACTAGCAGCCGCTATGGCGTCAGACTTAACTAGTTAACATCGTACCAAACGGCTTTAACTTGCTCGGAAGATCATCCCGATGCGCAGCATCGTCTTCGCCGACGCGTTATTTGAGTTGTTGTAAAGTGCAGGGGTGCGATCATCGTATCTGCATAGATGGTTGGTGTTAGTGCGTGAGCTTGAATCGGTGGTATTCCACGAAAACACACTTCATGTTTGGGGGTGCATGACAGAAGGAAATGTTACCTCAATCGAAAGTGCTACTCAGAGATGACTGGAAAGCTAGACTTGGCAGAAATGTTTGATTGTAACAACATGGTATATACTAATAAAATTTAAACGCGAATTGTCTGATCTGCTTCCATGCTTATTAAGTACCCGCTCATAACTCCCTGTGATCCAAAGGTATCCGAATGTGTCATTTCTCCATGTTCACAACGTAGATGCGCCTCAGTTGAAGCCTCCGGGCATGAAAGGACACCTGCCGCCCTCAGCCTCAGTATTAGAAGACGATGACACAGCAGGGTGGTCAGCAGGCAGGCCCTGGGTTGTCGACATCTTCTCTTCGGTCGTCATCTTATCAAGACGTTCGATCGTCTCCTTGACCTCCTCTTTGCTCTGGATGAACTCATCGGGTAGCTCCTGCTCCTCGGGCGCCTTTATGCCAGCCTGAGCTTCATCGAGAGCGTCTGCTGGTGACATGTTCTTGGGCTTCTCCTCCTTCTTCACGACGCCGTCAGGCGCGATCTGCCTGAACATGTCCATCGGGTCGAACCAGGTGCGAACGGACTGTAGTTGCACCTTGTCGTTGACCGTTGCGACCGTGACACCTTGGATGTCGATTGAGCCTCCGTGTGCCTTGGCTGTGACCTTCTCGCCCTTGTTGTTGAAGCCGACGTAGTCGTTCTTCATTTGGCCCCAATGGCGCCATCGGAAGCTGACTGTTGGTGGGCCGCTGTAGACTTCTAGTACCTCCCATGCGAAGGTAGGCATCATGCGCTTGAACGTCTTGTGTGACGAGGCAAAGTCGGAGTAGTCGGGCGAGTAGTACTCGTTCGGCGCAATGATAGCATTGTATGTGCCGACCTTGAGCATAGCCTCTGCACCTTCAGCCTTGCCGCCATTGATAGCGAATGAGTAGTTTTCCCGATCGATCGTACGCCAGTCGTCGATGTTGGGCTTGAAGGACGCTTCGACTTCCCAGTTCTTGACGAGATTCTGTACGAGCTCAGGAAGAGACCCAGCCTCGTGTGTCATTTGCTTTGCTGTGCATGCTTAGTAAACTGCATTGTGTCTGACATGCAGGCTCATTGCCACATCTGGTAACTTACTCTCAGCGAACACCTTTCTGGTTTTTGAGTAATCAGGCGCTCTGCCGTATCGCCACTTGGCATCATTGTCCCCCAGAACAGCATCAGGGTTTGTGAGGTAGTCAGGTAGTGCGGGTGCAGCTTCCTGCGCAGGTGGTTGCTGAACGTCTGCGCTCGCCATTGTGGACAGTGAGTATGTGATGGAGTAACTTGGATGAAAAGAATGTACAGATCTGGGAAGACTAGTACTGAGGAAGCGCGACTATTCCTGGTATCAACCTGATGTGGCAAAGTGTTATGAATTTTGAAGTGGTACAAATATGCTGTCAAACCGAGGAAAGACACTCATGCTTTATATGTTGGGTGTAGTCAGTAAGCAGGGTAATACCCACACCAATCGACGCCAGTCAACAATGGCTTGATGACCCTGCAGCTGTGATACACAGCCTCTATCCAGTAGTTTGCGGGCGGGAAGGGTAGAAACCTCCGCAAGGGGATGCTGAAGCGGCTGGGCGAACTTTCCCACCGTGAAGCAGACTGGAGAGGCAAAGTGATGTGGGGTGCCAGCCGTCAAACTGATAGCCGGGACGAGACGGGGCAAGAACTGCCTGGACCTAAGGGTCTAGTCCGTTAGACGAGTACGCCTAGATGCATACATGGTCAGGTTGTACCATGTCGGAATTCCCGTTATATTCATCTGAACTCGGGTTGCACAGGCTGTTAGCTTCGTGAGACTGTTACATAGCGGAGACTCCATCTCGAGGCTCTGACTGCATTCCTGTCCGCTGTATTTGCTTCTCTTTGAGGTCGCAATATTGCATTTGCCATCGCGCTGCTCCTCGCCGTTGCAGCGCTGTAGCGGCACGCTTAGCGCGATCACATAAGGGCCCAGGGTGAAACAGCGGAAGACGTGCCGAGCGGGAGATCGCTTGGGGCGTAACTCCGAGGAGGCAATATATACCTCGCTTGTTTGAAGTTCCCCAGTTCCGCGTTCGAGACTCTGGTTCCAAGATGCAGTGATATTGCCAAGCAGGCAAGGCGGCCAAGGTGGAGAGGTTGAAGCAATCGTGTTGTCGTGAAGGAGCACCAACTCTAGACTTGGGTAAATGCCATGAGCAAATTTCGCAGCGGTACTCGGGCTCCATCCACTAGCCATGTACAACCAGCAAAGTCCCTGACAGTTGAGTAGGCCGAACACGCGGAGATCCCGAGGTCAGGCTAGTAATGCCCCGTACGGCTTGTTGCGTCTCAGGATGATTGCAAACTTTGGTACAGAGCTGATCTTCTTATTGTAGTGCCTCTGCAAGGTTGCTGGTGACGGCTCCAAGACACCGATTAAGTCTCGTTGAAGGTACCAGATACCGGGAATAACTGCCTGTAACACGAGCACGAGGTACACCGAGTCTCTCTCGTGTCAGACAAGATGGTTGAGAGCGTATCGGCAGAAGCCATCCTGGACGCCCTCGAATGCGGCGGATGAAATCGAACTGTGGCGCTTTTGTGGCGGTTATGCTGGGTGCTAAACGTTAGCTGCAGCGAGAGAGAAGCCCGCCAGCCGTCTCGTCAGATCTAGCCGATCCTCGAAATTGCTCATCCACAGGGGGGGAACTCCGATCCTTTGTGCAAGCTGCTCAACATTTGCGTTGATGGAAATTTGGCGCGCTGGTGAAGATACGAGGCGCAGACAATACAGGACTTGTCTCCAGGAGGCTCGTGGTTAGCGCAATGACATCATCCTGACATTCACGGGCCTCGAGACTGTAGCGTTTCACGCGTCCGCAACGCTGCCTGCTGTGTACTCTACCAACAACCGCAACAAAATTGAAGTTCAACATGGGACGTCGAGACCGTCTCATCAGCGCGTCTATATTACGCGCCATCTTCAGATCAGATTCGCCTCGTAAGGATGAAAGCGCGCGCTTGGGTTTATTTGCGCGCATCTATGCCTTCTTCGCTGTCTTCAGTCTGACTCTCGCTCGTTATCGCGCATCTCTGTTCAAGAAACTGAGGAATGACACATGGGAGATTGAAGAGGAAGGGTACATCGAGAGCTTCCGCCCAAGCAAGAGCAAACGGACCGATCTGATCGCCATTGGGGACCTGGGCTACTCAGGCTCGGTACGCGCGGAACATGGCATCTGAGGACGACAGGCTAATGCGCATCAGACATTCTTCACGACACCTAATTCTAAGTACCTGATCAAGTCCCTGCCGCGCAAGTTTGAGCAATCCTTCTTCCGTGATCGCCTCCTCGAGCCCTATGTCGAACACATGGAGCTGAATGAGGACTCCCTCCTCGTCCGCATAACCGACCTCCTCTACTGTCCTACAGCTACCGTCGGAGCCGCTG